CCCTCTCTCTCTCTCTTCTCTCTCTCTCTCTCCCTCTCCTCTCTCTTCATCTCTGTCCTCTCTCCTCTCTCTCCTCCTTCTCTCCTCTTCCTCTCTCCTTTCTCTCTCTCTCTCTCTCTCTCTTTGTGCGTTTTGCCCAGCTCATCCTTGAACCCACGATCCTTCCTGGCGCGGGGTATACAGGCATCCACGTCCATGCCCGCCCGCTCCTGTGTATTTGGGACGATCGGCCTTGCCCGGCCCAGGCAGCGTCCCCAAACCAACCCGATTGCCCACAGTGTTGCCGCGGATGGACGGACGCGACGGAGGGATGGGGACCAGCCGCGGCAGCAGGGCCGGTGTTTTCCTCCTCCACGCTCTGTGGCCCCAGAGGCCGCATGGTCCCAAACCTTAAACCTCTACAGGTCTTTGGTGCGAGTGTGGACTCGTGCCTGGGCCCGGCGTCCTGGTGCTGTCCCCTTCAGGGGGTCAGCAAATGACCCCTCAAGAGTGGGCGTGCTTGCAGGGGAGCCCCGAGCAGTCGGTCAGCAACTTGAATAAAAATGGGCCTCTCAGCGTTCTGCCGCCTGGGAGGAAGGAAGGCAAGCTTTCCACCTCCCCGATGGCTTTTGGGGACAGTTCCCGTTTCCAGGCGTGGACGGGTGTTTCGGGGACTTCCCCTGGGGACGCCCAGCTTTGCGTGGGAGATGGACTCGGGGTGACACTTTCTGTTCTCCCCGTGTCACCGTCTGCTCCCCGTCCCTGACCTCCGTCACCTCCCTCCACCGGGAGCGGGTTCAGGAGCAGCCGTTCCTGGCTGACTCCGAGGACGGGAGCTCGGTGTCCTTTCCCCGACCAGGCGTCCTGTCCTCTCTGACCCTGTGTCACCTGGCGGGGGACACAGAGAGCAGAGGTGGATGCAGGACATCAAGTGAGGACAGTGGCCCCTGCCCTGCCATCCCCAGCCCTGGGGAGGCTGAGGAGGAGGATGTGAGTTAGATCCAGCCTCCACCTCCAGCCTCCACCCCCAGCCTCCAGAGCCGTGTGCCACGAGAGCCTCCACTCGTACAGATTACCCAGGCTCAGGCAGCTTTTTCTTTTGGTGGGACTGGGATTTGAACTCAGGGCTTTGCGCTCTACTCCTTGCTCCACTTCTCCGTCCAGCTTGCTCTGGTTATTTTGGAGATGGGGGTCTCACAAACTCTTTGCAGGCTGGCCTCAACCTCGACCCTCCTGATCTCAGCCTCCCCAGTAGTGGGATTGCAGGCGCGAGCATGCGCCCGGCTCGGGTACCTTTTTTAAACGTAGCAGAGGAGCAGCGACCTTTCGGGTCTGACTGATGACAGCATCAGGTTGTGAGAGGCACAGTGTCCCTTGGCTTGTTCTTTTTTTGGGGCTGTGTAGTATTCGTCACTGGGGTGGGATCGGACTCATTCCCCTCTTTTATTTCTCTTTCCACAATTTCGGTACAGGAGTGGCTTCTGCCAGGACAAAGGTTCCCTTGAGCTGAGGACCCCAGGGCCCCGTGGACCTAATCCCTTTGCACCAGAAATGTGCATTTGTCGATCGAGTTTTTTTGTGTCAGGAGAGCCGGGTATGGGGGGGGGGGCGAGATGGTGCGTCAGGCTGTGATTTCAAAATGCTCGTGGCTGACAGCGGGGCCGTGGTGGATGGCGTGTTCACCAGTCCCTCGGAGTCCTCTGTCCCAGGACTCGTAAGTTAACGGAGCACATGAGAGATGCTGTCCGTCCATCTTGTCCGTCACCTGCCTTCTGCAGCCCCGCGGCGGCCGCTGGTTGCGTGTAGTTCGAAGCTCCCGGTTGCTAGGGACTTCGTGTCCGCTGTGGCGGACCGGGATTGTCTTGCTGTTAATTCGTCACGGTGACTGTCACAATGTCACCGCCTGCTTTGGCGTTTCCCGGCCGGATGGACCTGGGGGCAGCAGGAGGGATGGGTGGACTGGAACCGGTGTCCAGTCTGGGATCTGCGTCGTTTGCTGTGTGACCTTGGGCCCAGGTCAGCCCTCTCTGTGGCATGGGGCTGTACAGAAGGCAAAGACCTTTACGAGTCACCGTCGCCCACCTGGGCCCTCTAGGGCACCCGGTTTCTGGTCACCACTTGTGGGTTTTGACATCGGGGGCACCTGTTTTGACACCAAGGCTCCGGGCTGCGGGTTCCAGGCATGACGGTGTTGCATTGGAGTTCCAGACTAGTTTTAATAGTCAATCAAACAACTGGATTGTAAATCTGAAGGAGACCCCAAACTCTGCACCCCCAAGTGTCTGCCACCCCTCCCTTTGCTCCAACGGTGGGGAGGCTGTTCCTGCCACTGCCGAGGAGGCCATGGGTGCTGAGGACAGAGGCCGCGGCCCCGCACTGGACCTCAGTCCGTTAGCCATGTCTGCCCGGGTCCCACCATGGATGTCCTCGGGTCCCTCTTAGTCCTCACCAGTCACCCGGGGGCCACTCAATGTCCTCTTCCCCCTTCTCTGTCTGACCCCAAATAACCGAGAGGCCCTCAGAGTCCAGGTCAGGCCTGGTCACCTGTGCGTCCCAGACAAAGCCCCGAGGGGCTGTGGGGTTCCACAGCCACTGGACGGGACTTTTATGACCTTCCCCGCCATCCACGTCTGGCCGTCAGCGCTGCTTGCTTGTGGGAAATTTATTGTGGTAATAAACTGACTGCTTGACCCTGCAGACCGGCCTTGGCTGCAGACATGAATCTTCTCTCTCTCTCTCTCTCTCTCTCTCTCAGCCTGAAGACAAGCAGAAGGCAGTGGCCGGCTTTGTCCGGCTCCGGGGCGCCATGGACGCGCTGGGCATCACACAGATGGAGCAGCGGGCTGTGTGGCGGGTGCTGGCGGCCATCTACCACCTGGGCTTGGCGGGGGCCTGCAAAGGTACGACCGTCCCTCCGCCAAGCCCGCTGCCCCCGTGAGGCCACCTGGGGACAGGGTCCATCTGTCACCACCCTTGCTCTGGGGCTGCTCTCGGGAAGGCTGTGGACCACGCGTGGCTGGCGTTTGCAAAGGGACCTTCTGTCCCCGCCATCCATGGCGGTCACCGCTGTCTACGTGTGGCCACAGCGTCCCCGGAACAGAGCCAGTACGACTGAGAGGCCATCTTTGGTGGCCGCAGTTTCAATCTGAATCTTAGCTGGGGGGACGCAGCCCACCGTCCGGCTGAAGTTGACCTTGATCTCCCCTCCGTCACCACCCCCATGTCCTTGTCACCTTCGTCACCCCAGTGGTTCCAGTGTCCCCTCGCCTCACTGTGCCTCATGGCCACCATCCGTCCCTGTCCTGACCTTACACCTGGCGTTTTCCTTTTTCATGTTTATTTTTGGTGGGACTGGGATTTGAACTCAGGGCTTTGTGCTCTATGGCCTGAGCCGCTCCTCCCATCCATGCCACTCTGGTCATTTTGGAGATGGGGTCTCCAGAACTAGGCTGGCCTCGAACCTTGATCCTCCCGATCTCAGCCTCCCTGGTAGCTGGGATGACAGGCGTGAGCCTCGGCACCCGGCTTCTTTCCTGTGTCTTTGGGGGACACGCATGAGGCGCGCCGTCCTCACGCCAGAGGGAAGGTCGTGTTTAGAAGCTCTGGGGGTCCAGGTCATGGATGGACCCTTGGTGCCCACGGCAGTAAGAGCAAGGTTCTTTTCTCACCCAGCGCACTCCACACTTGCCCCGTTCACCCGCGAAATCCTCGTGGTAAAGCCAAGTGGTGGCCCCTCCTGGGATTCAGAGGACTGCAGAGACGTTAGGCCGGGGAGAAAGGATCTGATTGGCCCAGTGTGGGTCACGTGACCACTTCATTGGCCCCTGGTAGGAGGGGCTTCTTGGCTGACAGCTCCACCCAGGCTGCTGTCCCATGGGAGCGGAGGCGCTGTAGGCAGGCTCAAGATGCCGTCTTGCTTAGAGCGGGTTGAGATGGCGACCACGCTATGTCCTCGTGGCAGAAACAGAGTCACTCTGGCCTAGCAGGACTGTCCCTGCTCCTTCGCACACAGGGACCATCTTGGTGCTCCCTTCCCTCCTCCCTCCCTTCCTCCTTCCTTCTTTCCCTCAGCCATTTGATTGACCATTTGATCGGCTATTTAACTGACCATTTGACCATTTAACTGATCATTTGATTGATTGGCAACTGCTCACTTCAATCCCCCTACCAATATAGGCCGAGGCCCTGCCCCGTATGTCCGAGGGCCCGTGGTGACAAAAGAAAAAGTCTCATTTATAAATATTTCATCAACACGCAATTGTGTCTATAATTCCTCCCCCGTCTCCTCGCCCACCTCCTGAATTATTTTAAGAAGAGCTGCTCTGACTGACTTCCAGTTCTCCTTTGTGGGGTTTCATAATAGGTTGTTCTAAAATCAGCAATTAAGAATTTCACAGCCGAGTATGAACGGCTTCACTTTGTGTCATGACAGAAATAGAATCCTTTTCCATAATCAAGGTTTTCTTCTTTCATGAAAATGACACTCGTCCCCAGAGGGCCTGGCTTCCTGATTTCAAAGCTGTGATCCTATTTTTTTTGTGGGGGACATTTGGGATCTGGTGGCCTCATGCAGGGCTTGTGACAGAGCAATCAGAACCAGCGTCCAGTGGTTCTGGAAACCTGAGAGCCTCTGATAAAAACCTCATCGGACCCTCGCAGAAACCCATGGGTGACGTCACTCCCGGGACAAGATGGCCTATGGTGTGTAAACCCCGACTCGTCCCCATCTCTGTGCCATGAGTCCCCTCCCCATCCCAGAGGCTCCTGTGAGCACCGAGTGACACAGTGACAATGGTCTGCAGCCCAAGGTGGCAACTGAGGGATGTCATCCATGTCCCTGGCATCACTCAGAGGTGTGTGGTGAGGCCATGATTGTCACCCCACAACCACCACCACCATCGCCACCACAACCACCACCATCACCACCACCACCATCACCACCATCACCACCACATCACCACCACCACCACCATCACCACCACCACCACCACCACCACCACCATCACCACCACCACCACCACCACCACACCACCACCACATCACCACCATCACCACCACCACCACCATCACCAACCACCACCACCACACCACCACCACCATCACCACCATCACCACCACCACCATCACCACCATCACACCACCACCATCACCACCACCACCACCACCACCACCATCACCTCCACCACCACCACCATCACCACCACCATCACCACCACCACCATCACCACCACCATCACCACCACCACCATCATCACCACCGCCACCACCATCACCACCGCCACCACCACCATCACCACTCCATCACCATCACCACCACCACATCGCCACCGCCATCACCACCATCACCATCACCACCACCATCACCACCACCACCATCACCACCACATCACCACCACCATCACCACCATCACCACCACCACCATCACCACCACCACCACCACCATCACCACCACCATCACCACCATCACCACCACCATCACCACCACCGCCATCACCGCCGCCATCACCACCGCCGCCATCACCGCCGCCATCACCACCGCCACCATCACCGCCGCCATCACCGCCGCCATCACCACCTCCACCATCACTGCCACCATCACCACCACCACCTCCACCACCACCATCACCACCATCACCACCATCACCACCACCATCACCACCACCACCTCCACCACCACCATCACCACCATCACCACCATCACCACCACCATCACCATCACCATCACCACCACCATCACCACCATCACCATCGCCACCGCCACCATCACCATCACCACCGCCACCGCCACCATCACCATCACCACCGCCACCATCACCATCACCACCGCCACCGCCACCATCACCACCACCATCACCATTGCCACCACCTCTGTTGGTGTCTTCATTCTCTCCTCCCTCATTGTGAGAGTGGCAGGACTTCACTTTTCAGCTATATTATCTTTCTGAGTCTCAGTTTCATCGTCTAATGCAGAGATAAGCTGCACATGCTTTTGTGGTGACCAGTGCTAAGTCACCACAGGTAGAGGGCCTGCAAGAGTCACAATTGTTTGTGACACCTCCAGTGACTGCGCCAGAGCCCTTCCTCCTGGGGCAGTGTCAATCACATTCTAGGAAAAGCATTTCCCAGGTTTTCAGGTTTGCCATAAAGCAATCTGAATCTTCAAGATGCCTTCCTCCTCCTCCTCCTCCTCCTAGACAAGCTGTCACTAAGTGTCACAAGCTGGCATCGAACTTGTGACCCTCCTGCCTCAGACTCCTGATTGCTGGGATTACAGCATGTGCCACCTCGCCCAGCTCAAGATGTCTTTTGGATGATATGAATCCTTGCGATCTGCTTGGGTTGGATTGAGAAATCTCTTCTGGAAGCTGTTTTTCTTATTTAAAGAAGGACGCACATTTATGGGAAAATATCATTGCGATTTGACCGAGCAAGTCACTGATTTTTGTTTGGATTACAAACAAAAAAAGAAAATTTGAAGGATTCCAGTGTTGTCCAGTGACATCGCCGGGTGGCTGTGTTCCCTCTGTCTCATTTTAACAGTTTAGGACATTTTACACTTCACCGTCATCATCCCACAGACAGCTGTTTCATCTGCATTTCACTTAGCACTCAGCGGCAAGCGCTGTGCTGTGCAGGTCTCGTCAGTGATTTCAAGTGGCTGTGCAGTGCCCCACACCACGGATCCTCACCACGTCCTCAATCGCATCTGGTTCCCTGTACTTCACACTCCGTGCTCTGGCCTTCTTGGTGCTGCTCTGACACACTGCGCTGCTCTTCCTGCCCCAGGGCCTTTGCATCGCCTCTACCATGCTTTATGTGGCCAGCTCTGTGACCTTTCACAGCCCGGTTCTATATCATGTCTTTCCAGACTTCCACAGGCAGGGGCGGCTTCCTCCATCTCTCTACCTCATCACCCCATCTTAGTTCGTCCTTGTAGGGTGTGTGCGTGTGTGTGCGTGTGGTACAGTGTTGTCACCTGAAGTTATCTTCTGATCTACTTCTTTGATTGCCTCTTGTCTCACTCCCTCGATGGACCATAAGCTCCATGAGGACGAGTTTTATCTCTTCTTCACTGGTTTCTTCATGGTTAACCCAGGACCTGACACATCGCAGGGGCTCAGTCAATACGCACTGAGTACACTGATCTCTGGATGGGTGGATGGGTGGATGGAAGGATGGACGAATGGATGGGTGGATGGATGGGTGGATGGACGAATGGATGGATGGGTGGATGGATGGATGGATGGGTGGACGGGTGGATGGGTGGGTGGATGGATGGGTGGGTGGATGGGTGGGTGGATGGGTGGGTGGATGGGTGGACGGAAGGATGGACGAATGGATGGGTGGATGGATGGGTGGACGGGTGGATGGGTGGATGGATGGGTGGATGGGTGGACGGGTGGATGGATGGGTGGACGGGTGGACGGGTGGGTGGATGGGTGGACGAATGGATGGGTGGATGGATGGGTGGATGGGTGGATGGGTGGATGGGTGGGTGGATGGGTGGACGGGTGGATGGGTGGGTGGATGGACGGATGGATGGATATGCGGCTGGGTGGGCAGTGGGGTGGGTGGGCAGTTGGGGCATGAGGGAGTCATGGGTGGATGTTTGTACTTTTACTAACCAGTTCATAATTCCTGATTCAATGGTTCCCATGGTATTTCTTAAAACTGAAAATGTGAACAATGGCTGGAGTGTGTCGAGGCTCCCTGAGGTCCTTTTGGACACCCAGCCACCTTGTGCCTGGAATCCCACCATGTCCATCTTCCTGGTCCTTCTTGCAGTGGGCCGGAAGCAGTTCATGCGGTTTGAGTGTGCGAACCACGCAGCCGAGGCCCTGGGCTGCGAGTTCGAGGAGCTGAACACCGCTACCTTCAAGCACCACCTGAGGCAGATCATCGAGCAGGTGACACGCAGGCCGAGGCGGCCAGGCCTGGAGGACGAGGAGACCAGCTCAGGTAGCATCCTCGGCTTCTTGGGAGAGCCTGTCCCTCTGGGCCAGGCCCTGGGGACACACCAGGCCTTCTCCTGTTTTCGTGGGGGATTTACTGAAGACCTGTGCCCCCGTGCTAGGCAGAAGGGTGACGATGGTCCCACAGCAAGCTCTGCCCAGTGGCTGTGAAGGATGCTGAGTCCAGGGGTCCCTGTGCTGGGGAGGGGGGTGCGTGGGCAGTGCAAGGGTCCCCTGCCTTTCACTGGACTTCATGCCTGTGGAGCCCTGGCTGGGGAGGGGGACGAAGGACTCCTGTGTGAGGAGTGGGCACCAGGCCAGCATGGCTTGGGTAGGTGGGCAGACGGTGGGAGAGGCCGGGATGCCAGGGAGGACAGCGGGGAGGAGGTCAGATGTGGGGGGCAATGGGGTGGCCCGGGCAGCAAGGGGCGTGGCTTGGGTGATTCTTCACAAGGCTCTGCTGGAAGCTGGGTGGGCAGGAGGAGGAGAGGAGAGGGAGCCCCTCAGGTCAGCAGGCAAGGGACGTCCCTGGCTGGGGACACTATGGTGGTGGAGATGGGACAGGGGCAGGTGCTGGGTGTGGGTTACAAGCTGAGAGGACGTCACGAGTGCCCGTGGGAAGAGGATCAAGGATGGTGTCTAGGACCTGGGCCTGTAGCCAGAGGAACCAAGGTCAGTGTCAGGACATGGATGACCTCGCGCCTGCTCTGGCGCTCTGTCCACCCGAGGCCGAGGCCCCTGCCTCCTGCCACGCATATGGGTGTGGGGACGATGGCTTTTCGGGCTTTTGCGTCTGTGTTCCTGACGTGTGGACGGCTCTGTCCGTCTTCCGTCCACTGGAAGCATCCCTCGTCCCTCACACGAGTGGGCTGAAAGTGACCTGCTGGTCACCACGACAAAGTCTTTTCAGAAAAGCATTTCCCACCAGTTTTATCCACATTGGGAAGGACGTGGGCGCCCAGACGAGTTTTGTCCTGGGATTTTTCTTTTGGATGACAGCCGAGGAGTGGACAAGCCCGGTCCACGTCTGCCGTAAAATGGCCACGTTTCTCTCCAGAAAGATGGGGATGAGAAACACTGCCTGTACGATATGCCACTGCCCTCAGAGACAGTCCCCCGCTGCAGGGCACCCCCAGACTTCATGGGCTAACACAGTAAAGCGAGTGTCATGGTTGGTGCCACCACTGCAGGTGGAGCTGGAATTGGCCCCAAAGGTGGGGTGGTTGGTAGTCAAGGAGAGCTTCCGGAGGAGGTGACCGAGTTAGCCTCAGTTACTCTCACAGAACACCTGAGATAATCCAATTAAGAAGGGTCTCTTTGGGGTCAAGGTTTCAGTCTGTGGTCGGTCCCATTGATTTTGGGTGACACAGCACTTCATGGGGAGGAAGCTGCCCACCTCATGGGCACAGGGAGAGGATGGGGAGGTGGGGGATCCCAGAGTCCCCCTCGAGGCCACGCCCACCATGACATCAGCGGTTCCATGAGGCTCCGCCTCTTAAAGGTCCAGCCACCTCCCAATGTGACCACACTTGAACACGCCGGCTTTGGGGGACATTTAAGATCCAAAGTCCAGCAGTGTCATTGGAGGGGGGTTAGCCCCGCAGTGATGTCCTCGGCCCCCCGGCCACGGTTGCGTCCACGCCATGCTGACCCTTCTCCCTTCCCGACCCCAGGGCTCAAGATGACGGGGACCGAGTGTGTGCAGGGCATGGCCGCCGGCCTGTACCAGGAGCTCTTTGCGGCCGTGGTGTCGCTCGTCAACAGGTAACGGTGGCCTGCGGCCAGGCACAGGGTGGACGGTGCTCACGGGGACCGTGACACGGGACTGTCGGGCAGAGGGGTCCTGGTGGCAGGCTGAGAGGGCTTCTAGGGTCTATGGTGCTGGGTTCGAATCCCACCCCGGTCACTCCCGGGCTGTGTGACCTCTGCAAATCCAGTCCCTTCCACTCTGAAGGCCACCGTGCTGCGATTGTCCCCAGGACCACGGTGACAAATAAGTTGTGCGTTTAAATGACGTCTAGCAGTGGTCAGTCGTAAACACAGCAGGACAAACTGACCTTTACACTGACCGAGCCTCAGGCTACCGTCCACGCCCTGGGCCTCGTCACCGTCAATCCTGTCACTTAACCCGGGAATGGAAGCCGGTGACACCGCAGGGCTGTGCGACACCAGGAGTCTCTGGTTTCCGTCATCGAGAAGGACGTGCTGCCCATCCTTGAGCCTGTGACCCAAGGGCACTGTCCGTCACCTGGGGACACAGGTGACACAGCAGCCATCACAGTGGACCCCAATCAATGCCCGCAATGGTCACCCCAGCATCATCTAAAAACTGAGGGACCGTCAACCTGCAGGAGGACGGGGACAGGGGACAGGGACGGGGACGGCCAGCGCCATTCTGAGTCCCTGGTGGACATCAGCCTCCCCATGACTCACTGACGTCGCCTTGGCTTCAAGATGTCCGTGTGGCAGGCACGGCCCCCATGATGAGGACGAGGGGGACGCAGGGTGTGACCGCTGATGGCAGTGAGGACACGATGGCCGGCAACGCGGCCTGGACGTGTGACCAGCAACGACGCCACCAGGGCACACAGTGACTCACGGTGGTCACTCACGCGTCCCAAAGTCCCCTCCCCGACCCCCTCGACGGCCATCAAACCACCAAGGCGGCCAGAGCGAGGTTTCCAAGTTCCCGTCACCTGTGTCCCTCGGGGCCAGCTCCAGCTTAACTCTGCGGTCAGTTTCCGGAGGACCTCACGCCTGGTGGAGAAGTCACAACTCCCGACACCTGGCCGTGTCCCCGTCACGGGGTCCTTCCTACGCTTGTCCCCCTTTGTCCTCACCACCGTCCACTGTGCTCAGAGAGGTTAAGTGACTTCCCCGAGATCACACAGCTGTGCGTGGAGAGCTTAGCTTCTGGCTGCCTCAGTTTCCCCGTCTGGGCTATGTGGGGTCAGCAGGGTCCCGAGATTCTGTGCCATCTCGGGGCCTCTCTCTCTCTCTCTCTCTCTCTAGGTCCTTCTCCTCCCACCAGCTGTCCATGGCTTCCATCATGGTGGTGGACACCCCGGGTTTCCAGAACCCGCGGCACCAGGGCCAGGACCGGGCAGCCACGTTCGAGGAGCTGTGTCACAATTACACTCACGAGCGCTTGCAGCTGCTCGCGTACCAGGCGACCTTTGTGTCCACGCTGGAGCGACACCGAGAGGTGGGGGTCAGGGACGCGGGGGACAGGGCTGGGGACGAGGCCAGGCCAGGCGCAGTGGGGAGGGACCGGGCCCCTGGTGGTCCCAGAGACGCCCTTCTGTGACGTCCTCTCCACGTCCCCTGTGTGGACAGTCCTTCCCGTTGGGTGCCACAGGGCACGGTGACCCCTGGGGCTCACAGGGACGAGGTCCCAGCTGTCCCCTGCCAGGCCAGGGTCACTCAGAGAGGTCAAGCAACTCGCTCAAGGTCACACAGCCTCAGCGGCCAGCTTAGCTTTGCACACGGCCCTCCTGCCCTGGTGTGGAAAAATTGAGTCCCAGTGTTTGGTCTGAGCCTGGTTTGAGGACGGAGGTTTAATTCCTCGCAGCTCCAAGAGTGACATGGCCGAGGTCAGGGTGATGTCCAGCCGGCCACTGTGGGGTCCATGATGGAGCCAGGAGAGGGACAGGGACAGGGGACACCTGTCCTTGTGCCGTTTGTTTCTGGTGACTTTCAGCGCGGTGCTGAGGAGGGGACACATTCAAATCGTAGCGACCCCAAGGGTGGTGACAATGACAGCAATGGCGGGACCTCGAGAGCCACCTGGCATCTACTCTGAGGGTGACTGTGTGACCGCGTGGCCTCCAGCAAGGACTGGAAATGCTGGGCTGAGAAAGGCTCCCGTCCCGGCTGTGTGGCCTTAGGAACGTCACTTGCCCTCTCTGACCCTTCATTTCGTCACAGAGAAATGCGAGGAAACAACTCGCCGCTGTCATTTGAAGGACACAGAGGTCCCAGCTACTCCAGAGGCCGAGAGGGAGGATCGAAGTCTGAGGCAAATCTTGAGACCCCATTAAAACAAGCCGGGCATGGCGGCTCACGCCTGTGATCCCAGCTCTCCCGAGGCCGAGGCAGACTGAGGTTTTTGCAAACCGTCTGCCCAGCCTGGCCTCGAACCGCCATCCTCCTGACCCCTGCCTCCCGAGTGGCTGGGATTACAGGCGTGAGCCCCGGCGCCCGGCTCTGTTGGTCCGAGTGGGGCCGAGCTGTCACCGGCACTTCTGAGGTTGTCGGCAGCCGTCTTCGGGGTTTGGTGGAACCCTCAGTTTCTGAGAAAACTCTGACGATGCCACAGCGTTTCGGGGCTGCTGGTGTCCAGTGCTCAAGTCTGACCGCAGCAGACATTTCTCCACAAAATGGACACGGGGTCCCCGAGCCCAGGGACAATGGCCAGGGCCACGAGTCCTCAGAGACTCGAACCCGCCGGGTGGCCTCTGTGGAACAGCAAGTGTCGGTGACACGGGGACGTCCCCGCGCCCCGCTCCCTGCCATTCCCCCGAAGTCAAATCGTCACCGTGCCACCCAGCGAGTCCGGGGTGGGACACTCGCCCCGGAACGGACAGCGGGTCCCAAAGACGAGCTTGCACACCGACATCATGGTGGAGACTGGAATATTACTCAGCCCTGAGGAAGGAAACTGGACTCACGGTGCAGCCTGGGTGACTCTGAGGACCTGGCTTTGGTGACATCAGCCAGGCACGGGACAAATCCTGTGGGATTCCACTGAGGGGCACCAAAAGTGAGATGGTGACCGGGGCTGGCCGGAGGGAGCATGGCCGCTTCCTCGTGGCCATTTCCACAGCACAAGATGTGCGGCCGTGCGCAGCTGAGGCGGTGTCACCCCGAACCCCGAAACTGGCCAAGCGATGCCGGAAAAGCTCTGAGCTGAGCTGCGCAGACGCAGCGGAAGTTTACGTCACCCGTGCCCCGCCATGTCCCCCGCGCGGTCACGCCTTGGCGGGCGCTGACGGTCACCTCTGTGCTCTTGCAGGAAGGTGTTCCCGTGCCCTTTGACCTCCCGGAGTCCTCACCGGCGATGACAGTGGCCGTCATGGATCAGAGTCCCTCACAGGTAAGGGGGGCCCGGGGACAGCAGCGAGGTGGTTGGACGTGACATCGGGGACATGGCTTCAGCTTCCGTTCCACAATGGCATCTGCGCCTGGCCTGGGGACAGTTGGGGACATTGGGCCCGGCCTGGCCCCGGTTCTGTGCTGGTTGCTCTGGGGACGCGGGCGGGAGGTGACAGGTGGAGGCGGGCTTCAGACCGCGGTGACCGTCCTGTGCCGTCCACAGCGAGGATGACACGGGTCCAGCCGGCCGGCCTGAGTCCTGGGGCCGAGGTCTGAGCCCAGGCCTGGCCTGAGGGATATTGTGTCCCCCACCAGGTCCACAGTGCGGCTGGAGGCGGCCATGGCGATGCCCGGGGCCTCTTCTGGGTTCTGGACGAGGAGGTCCGGGTGGAGGGGTCCAGTGACAGCGTGGTTCTCGAGCGTCTGCGTGTGGCCTTCGAGGGGACGGGAGTCGACACTGAAGGTAAGGGCACGTGGGCCTCGGCTGTCCATGGCGGCAGGAAGGACCCGGGGCGACGACAGTGGACACACGCACAGGCAGCCCGTGTGATCTTCAGCCTGAGACCGGCCTCTGAGGGTGGACTTCAGGCAGAGTGGATGCCGCACAGATGCAGGGAGCATGGTGGCCCCCGCCTGTAATCCCGGCTACTCTGGAGACATAGATAGGAGGATTGAGGTTCCATCGAGGCAGGAAGGGCGGCCACCGGGGGGACAGAGGCTTTTGCAGGAGGATGGGCGGAACGAGGGGACGGAGCAGCTCAGCGCAGGTGAGCGAGGAACGGGTCACTGCTCCCCTTCCTCCAGTGTCACCTACGACGACTGAGTCACAGGCCGCGTGGTCACTGGCTGCGGTGTGGAGGGCTTATTGACCGATGGGGTCAGGGGCGTGGACGCTTCCAGGGGTGGAAGTGCAGTGGTCCCGCCACACAGGGCAGCGTCCTCATGGCTTCGGCCAGATGGACACAGATGGTCTTGTCCCCAGACTGAGGAGGTCACCCCGACCCAGGTCCAAGGTCACCCAGAGGAGCAGGGACAGGTGCCAAGTGGACAGTCCACTGCAAACCCAGGAGACAAGGACCACGGTTCTGCCTGAGGCCACCGAGGGAATGAGGCCAGCAGAAAAGATGCCCAGGGACTCATCCTGGGGACATTGCAGCATTGAGGGGACAAAGGAAAGATGGAGCTGGGGAGGAAGGAGGGAGCATGGCCTCCTGGAGGCCACCAAGGGGCGGGGAGGGGTCTGTCCTCTGAACTGCTGGACCGCTGAGTGACCCATGGCTTGGCACATGGAGGTCGGTGACACCCAGACAAGTGTGCGAGGGGACGTGCCAGGGGGAGGTTGTGAGAACTGGGACAAGAGCGCTGTCCACTGAATGCAGGTGGCAGGAGGTCCAGCCTGAGGTGACCAGAGTAGAGTGACCATCCTAGGGTTGACAGTGTGTGGTGACCATTCTATGGTGACCGTCCCCTGGTGACCAGTCTATGGTGACCGTCCCATTGTGACCAGCCCAGGCGTCCACCTCTTTTCTTCATAACGGAGCTCGCCTCAGGTATCTCGTCACAGTAATGAAAAATGGGCCTCACGTAACCCCAGTGATCTTGTCCGCTCCTCAGGCACCCCGAGGACATCCCCAACTGACACCCGGCACGGCCAGCTCCTTCCCCTGACCACATTCCTTGCACCTCCCAACGGGGTGACCACCTGTCTTCCCTCGAGTCTCAGGCCTCACTTATATAAAACTCGTGACCCCATCCCTGCCCTCTCGTCCCCCTCCTTCCCCTCCTGTCCACGGCGGTGGCCATGTCACACGTCACACACACTTGGCCAGCCAGGCTGGGTCCCCTCTGCACAGGTGGCCCTCTAGGACAGCCATGGCACGGCCAGGTGCACAGTGACCACTGTGGGTCTGGACTTCGGGGCAAGAGAGATGGAAACAGGGCAGGACGAAGTGGCCATTGACGATGTGGCTGGGTGGAAAGGGACTCGGTGACATTGTGGCCTTTCTTCTTTCCCCACGAGGGCCGGTGGCTCCGTCCTGGTCACTCTGAGTGCCCAGTTCCCCAGGGAGTGGCTATGCTACAGCCTTTGTCCTGGACTCAGTTTCACTCAGGTGTTTTGGGGGAAAAGTTCTTTTTCCCAGGGTTCTGATGAGCTCTGAGTTACTGAGAATATTCGGTCAACCGGGCTCGCTCTGTGTGACTTCTTACCATCTCTAAGGTGGCTTTGCCAGTGTCCCCACATGGCTGGTGAGGGGGGCCGAGGCCCTGTGGGCAGCGAGGTGATTGGCAGGGACTGGGGGGACCTTGTCTGCAGGCTCGGGCTCCCGAGGGAAGTGATGACGGAGACGAGGCTCCGTCTTCCAGGACTTTCTGTGCGTCCCCTGAGAGCGTGAAATGATTTAAGGAGCAAAATTCCGGTATGAAGTCAATTCCAGGAGAAAGAAAGAAGTAAGGGGAGCTGGGCACCGTGGCGCACACCTGTAATCCCAGCGCTGTGGCAGGAGGATTGCAAGTCTGAGGACAGAGGGTGATGAGAAGGCTGGAAACTGGGAGCTGGTTTTTCCGGAAGGCTCTGGCCATGTAACATTTCCATGTGCCAGGCCACCACCCTGGAGACAGGCAGGTTTTGAGGCCAGCAGCCCTCATTTTGGTTTTCTTTTTGGTGAGACTGGGATTTGAACTCAGGGCTTCAGGCTTGCAAAGCAGGCACTCTTGGCTTGAGCCTCTCCTCCAGTCCATTTTGCTCTGGTTACTTTGGAAACGGGGTCTCCAGTACTATTTGCCCAGGCTGGCCTTGAACTCTGATCCTCCTGATCTCAGCCTCCCAAGTAGCTGGGATTATAGGCTTGAACCATGGCACCTGGCTTCAGGCCCTCCTTCTGACCCTGCTCTGCAATGTTAGTCCAGTGGCCTCAGCTTTCTTGACTTCAGTGTCACCAGCCCAGGGATGCTTAAACCACGGAGTGACATCCCCGAACTGGCAAGTCTAGCAAGTGCCGGGAGCCCGAACACGTTTCACAGTGAGGCTTTTCTTCCCTTTCCTTGTCTGGATCCTCATTCAGAGCCGGCTCTGTGCCATGGGACAAAATGGTGAACGCTGTCCCTGCCTTCAAGTTGCATCCACCCAGTGTAGGGAGGGCACCATGGTGTTGTAGGATTGATGGGGGCCTCATGAACCAGAACCATCCACCCGCCCGTCCATCCACCCGTCCACCCACCCGTCCACCCACCCATCCGTCATCCACCCGCCCGCCCACCCGTCCACCCACCCACCCGTCCACCCGTCCACCCATCCACCCGTCCACCCACCCACCCACCCTGCCACCCGTCCATCCATCCGTCCACCCATCCACCACCCGCCCACCCATCCACCACCCACCCGCCCGTCCATCCACCCGTCCACCCGCCCGTCCACCCGCCCGTCCACCCACCCACCCACCCACCCGTCCACCATCCACCACCTGTCCGCCCGCCCGTCCACCCACCCATCCATCCACCCACCCGCCCACCCGTCCACCCATCCACCACCCGTCCGCCCGCCCGTCCACCCACCCATCCATCCATCCATCCGTTCACCCACCCATCCATTTCATTCACCCGTCTGTTCACTCATCAGCTCATGCATTCACTCCACAAGCGTTTCTGGACTCCTGTTCCCCGCAGGACACTGAGCTGCAGTGACTTGGAGATCAGCAGTGTGACCCGACCCCTGCTGTGTCCTGGGCTGAGCAGTGACGGCACCCTTGCTATGGGGCAACTCTCGCGGGCTGGGCGCCATATAAAATGTGCCATGTGGAGTGGCTTCCAGCCTCATGCCACCCTGGGAAGTCTGCATTATTGAGCCCCATTTCACAGGGGAGGAAACTGAGGCGCAGAGGCTGGGGTGGCCTGGCCACTTTCACATGGCAACAAGTGTCAGGGACTTAGGCAAACGCTGAGGCCACCCTCAGTTGTGCGTCCGACCCTAAAACAGCCATGTGTGCACAGCATCTCCCGGTCACGGGGTTGGTGGCCTTTGGGACAATGGAGGTGACACGGGAAGAGAGATTTTGATCAGCTCTTGCAATACAATTTTCTCTTTAATGAACGCACCTGTGAGGACACTCGCTGTGTCACCTGACGTGCTCCTGGGTGGTGCCCGTGGGTGGCCCCAACGGTCCCCAGGTCTCACCGCCGCGTCTGCCTCCAGGGACGGCCGTCCTGCGCACCTGTGAGCAACCCCTGCACTTCGAGGTGTCCCACCAGCGGGGCCGGGACCCCGTGCGCTACGACCTCGCGGGCTGGCTGCGCAGAGCCAAGCCCAACCTCTCGGCCATGGACGCCCCCCAGATCCTGCAGCAGTCGCAACGGTCAGTCAGGCGGGGTGGGAGGGATGGGACGGGCGGGGACGTGCCAGGGGACACGCTGGCTTCTTCCCCACGGGGACGCCAAAGTCACAGCAGCCCAGGGAGTGAGGGCTGTGCTGGGAATCATGTCCCCTCCCTGCCTCCCTCCATAAGTGTCCCATGTCCCCTCCCTCCCTCCATAAGTGTCCCATGTCCCCTCCCTCCCTCCATAAGTGTCCCATGTCCCCTCCCTCCCTCCATAAATGTCCCATGTCCCCTCCCTCCATAAATGTCCCATGTCCCCTCCCTCCCTCCATAAGTGTCCCATGTCACCTCCCTCCCTCCATAAGTGTCCCATGTCCCCTCCCTCCATAAGTGTCCCATGTCCCCTCCCTCCCTCCATAAATGTCCCATGTCCCCTCCCTCCCTCCATAAGTGTCCCATGTCCCCTCCCTCCCTCCATAAGTGTCCCATGTCCCCTCCCTCCATAAGTGTCCCATGTCCCCTCCCTCCCTCCATAAGTGTCCCATGTCCCCTCCCTCCATAAGTGTCCCATGTCCCCTCCCTCCATAAGTGTCCCATGTCCCCTCCCTCCATAAGTGTCCCATGTCCCCTCCCTGCCTCCCTCCATAAATATCCCATGTCCCCTCCCTCCATAAGTGTTCCATGTCCCCTCCCTCCATAAATGTCCCATGTCCCCTCCCTGCCTCCATAAGTGTCCCATGTCCCTCCCTCCCTCCATAAATGTCCATGTCCCTCCCTCCTCCATAAGTGTCCCATGTCCCTCCCTCCATAAGTGTCCCATGTCCCCTCCCTCCATAAGTGTCCCATGTCCCCTCCCTGCCTCCCTCCATAAATATCCATGTCCCTCCCTCCATAAGTGTTCCATGTCCCCTCCCTCCATAAATGTCCCATGTCCCCTCCCTGCCTCCATAAGTGTCCCATGTCCCCTCCCTCCCTCCATAAATGTCCCATGTCCCCTCCCTCCATAAGTGTCCCATGTCCCTCCCTCCTCCATAAATGTCCCATGTCCCTCCCTCCATAAATGTCCCATGTCCCCTCCCTCCCTCCATAAGTGTCCCATGTCACCTCCCTCCCTCCATAAGTGTCCCATGTCCCCTCCCTCCATAAGTGTCCCATGTCACCTCCCTCCCTCCATAAGTGTCCCATGTCCCCTCCCTCCATAAGTGTCCCATGTCCCCTCCCTCCCTCCATAAATGTCCCATGTCCCCTCCCTCCCTCCATGAGGGTCCCATGTCCCCTCCTCCCTCCATGAGGGCCTCATGTCCCCCTGGGACGGGGACGAGTGGACCCAGCCTTCTGGGGTGGTGACACAGCAGATAAAAAGTTACAGCTTTGCTCCTTTTGCCTTTCATTGAGTGTCAGGGAGAGGATGTGACGGGGACAACTTTTATGGACCTCTAGAACGCGGGGACATCGTAAACCGAAAGGACACGTTTCATAGTGTTAGGGACAAGCTCACCGTCGTCCCGACTGCGCCCTCGCGGGGACGACGGAAGCTCGTTCTGTCTGTGCGCTCGCTCGTTCCCACGATGGGGGAGGCGCTGGCCTCACTTTGGGGTTGGGCCAATGTCCCCTTTGGACTGGGTGTCGCGATCGGGAGGGCCGGGCGAGTGACCCGAGGACGTCCCCTTTCCCTTGCCCACAGTGAGGAGCTGCGGAGTCTGTTCCGGGCCAGGGCCACGCTGTCCCCCGTGAGCCGGGCGGTGGCCGGCCTGGAGCCCACGTCTCAGCAGGCCCTGCAGAGGGCGCGGGTGGTGAGGAGGACGTTTGCCGGCAGCCTGGCCGCCACCAAGAGAAGGGCACCGTGCGTCCAGATCAAGCTGCAGGTGGTGAGTGGCCCTAGCCGCGGTCCCCACCCCTCCCGGCTGGACAGCCGGCCCCGAGGACAGACATGGCCCACGCTTGGCGGGGGGGAAGCGGAGGCTGCGGTCCCTAAGACGGTTCTGTGGGTTCTGTGGCCGAGGCCTGGGCTCGTGGTGTTGAAGTGACCACAAGCCACCCACGGCCACGGGCTCGGGGACAGCGCCAGCCGAGCTCCGGGACTCAGGGTCAAACCCCAAAGAGGAAAGGCCGCGCTCTGGGACGGCTGTGCTTGGGGCGCCCGGCTGCAGAAGCCCCAAACGGCACAGTCCCGGGTTCTAGTCCCAGCACTGCCGCTGATGACGCGTGTGACCTGCGGCCGCTCACTGGCTCCTGCTGTGCCTCAGTTTCCCCCGTCTCAATGCGGGTACAGATCAGGGTGGGGTGATGTCCCTGGCACAGGACATAGGGCCCTGGAGGACCCCAGGCCGGGCCGAATGTGGGGACCCCGTCCACCTCGCCTCTGACCTCCGTGCTCGGTCTAGGATGCACTCATCAACCTGGTGAAAGGGGCTCGGCTGCACTTCATCCACTGCCTGACGTCAGCCCCAGCGGTGGACAGCAAGAGGGGACAGGGGTGTCCACCGCCACAGCAGCCTGGAGGCAACCACCCCGGGGCAGGCGAGGCCCAGGCCCTGGACGTCCCAGCGCTGAGGGTCCAGCTCGCGGGAGGTCACGTCCTGGAGGCCCTGAGACTGCACAGGGCAGGTGAGAGACAGCTGGGGTCCTGTCCACTAGCCGCGGGCCAGCCGGGGACGGGGACCTCGTGCGTCATGCGCATGGCCACCACTGTCTCCTAGGACTGAGGCTTCCGTCACCCCCGGTGACGAGAGGCAGGTGGACCCCAGAGCGGGGACAGGACTTGGCTGGGCCTTGGCTGACCCTGGATTTGGACCAGGTCACTCGAATCCAAGGCCACGGGATTTCCGGGCTTTTCCGGAAGGCCGGGGCTGCGTCCCCCTCCTCTGTCGTGGGGTGCAGAGGGGACTTTCCATGTCCCGTCAAAGAGCCCGGGGTTTCGGGGCGCAGGGTCACCCCGTAGGAGACCAGGGTGGAGGTGTCCCCTGTGACGCCTTGTGGCTCCGTCAGGACACCGGCAGTGCCAGCCGTAAACATCTGCCCTGGGTGGGGCTCCACGTCTGTCAGCCCCAGGGAGAGGTCCAAGCCTCGAGGCTGGATTTGAGCTCCCTGGCCCTCGCTGGCTGTCCCCTTGTCCCCTTGCCACTGCGGGGTTTGGGCCGTAGCTGGGACAGTCCGGGCTGCTGGCTCCACGTTAACACAAAGGTCTGAGCCCAGAGCAGTGGCAGACGCCTGTAATCCCAGCCACTCTGGAGGCAGAGGGAGGGAGGAGGATTGCGGTCCGAGGCCACCCAGGTGACAAGTAAGATCCTATTAAAAAATAGCCTAAAGAAAAGGGGCCGGCGGAGTGGCTGGAGTGGCAGAGCGTCTGCCTGGCAAGGGCGAGGTCCCGAGTTCAAATCCCACCTCTACCGAGTGCGGGAGCCAAGGTTCCCTGTGCGAGGAGCCGGCTTCTCTTTGGACTCTGACTTGTCCTGTCTGCCCCTCCCCAGGCTACGCTGACCACATGGCGCTCGGTCAGTTCCGCCGGCGCTTCCAGGCGCTGGACCCCCCGCTGATGAAGCAGATCTCGGCGTCCACCGAGGGAGTGGACGAGAGGAAGGTAGGTGAAGCTGGGGCTGGAGCCCTGGCCGCCCCCATGGGGCCCGAGGTCCCTGTGCCGCGGGAATGTAGTGAACGCCAGCCCCGGGGCCTTTGCACGAGCCGTGTCACACTGTCCTCCCCGCTTTGCACAGCGGGGACATCTGGCTGCCCGTCTCGGGTCACGTGACCTCGTTTTCATGTTCGTGGTGCCGCATTTTGTCTGAAGTCATCGAGACCCCGTAACTCTTCTGGCTCCTTGTGATCGAGCGGACATAGGAACCAGACTTGGTGCTTTGCATCTCCTTTGTCCAAGCGTCCTACAAACCCCTGACGCGGGATCTCCGGTCCCCTTGCCACCCGCGGGCCTCTCGGGGGCCTGGTTCGGTCCCGCGACAGCCCTGTCATGTCCCCTTCGCGAGCGAGCGAGCGAGCGAGCGAGCCGGGGCCGGTGGCTCCTGGGGGGACACGGGTCCCTTTGAGGCCACGCGTCCCAGGTTCCGCTTGAACTCAGGTCCCTGGACTCCAGGGGACGGTCGTGCAGAGGACACAGGGTCAGGGCCGAATGCAGGGCGGCCACTCCCAGCTGGAACCTAAGAGAGCCAGGAGCTCGGCCTTTCTGCCTCAGTTTCCCCGTCTGTAGGGCAGGAAGGACAGGGCTCCTACGTCATGTGGTCATCCTTCCAGGCCAGGGTGGTGGCCGCTGGGCCGCCGAGATGGCATTTGTGCCCCCTTGGATGTCACCCGAGCGCCCACGTGTCCCCGAGGCCTCAGCACGGCTGCCCTCGCTGTGTCACGAGGCGCGAGGGGTAAACAGAGTCACGGCTCGGGTCCCCTGGTCCTTTGTCCCTCAGACACAGTAGGTGTGGGCACAGGCCACCCAGTGAGGGGCAGAGACCCCAATGTCCCCTGAAGCAGGGAGGTAGCCACCACCATTTCACTTCCTGTGCCAAATTTGACCATCTTGTCACATTTCAAGCACTGTGTGTCCTTTTGGGGCCACTGACGTCACCAAGCCCAGTGACCTCAAGGTTTATCCCCACCTTAGCCTGGGTCACAGCTTCCCTCCTTTTTTAGGGCTGCATGATATTCCGCCGGGTGTGCAGGCCTTCCTTGACTTGTCCGTTTGTCCATTTGGTTGCTTCCTTGGATGCTGCCACTGTGCAGGGCGACCTCTTCGAGACCCTGCTTAACTCTGTGGGGTTACACGCCCAGAAACGGGATTGGCGGATTGTGTGATAATTGTATTTTTACAGTTTTGAGGAAGCACCTTCTGTTCTCCATTTCCAGCCCACCTGGCTTCACAAGGGTCCCCGGTCCATTCCTCTCTCTCTCTCTCTCTCTCTCTCTCCTCTTTCTTCCTGTGGGCAGGGTTCGGGGCTCGCTCGTGTCTGTCATTCTCCACTTGAACTCATTTCCCCGATTTCATCCAAAGTGACAATGGCCGCTTTCACCCACCCCGGGCTCGGCACCAAAGAAATGGGGACGAGCCCAGCCCCGAGGAGAAACCCCAAAGCAAGCCACCACCCGGTGGGGACTCGGTGCCCAGGGACGTCACCCACGTGAGGTGACCTTGGGGCACTCGGCCTCGGGGTGGACGGTGACAGGGCCACCTGTGACACCACGGAGGAGCTGGTGACAGGCACAGCAGGACCAGACGCCTGGCGTCACTAGGGTCGAGGGTCCCGGTGTGGCCGGGGCGCAGAGGACACCGAGGAGGTCAGGATGGGGCCCAGCTGACCGGTGACGGTGACGTGGACGACAGCACCAGGCCGTTACTGCTTGGTCCACAGTAAGCAAAATTACCAAGCAGGTGACGTCCACGCGGCCGTCCACGGCCCTGTCCAGGCAGCGTGGCCTCATGCTGACCTCCGGCTGCCCAGGGCCCCGTGTCCCTGGACGGCGGGAATGTCCCTCGGGCTCCCTGTCCCATCACCCTCGGTCGCGCTTTCCTCCCAGCCCTCCGTGATTGAAGTAAAGACGTGGCCTAGGAGAGGGATGAGACGGACAGACGGACTTACGGAAAAAAACCCGGAGAGCTCACACTCGGTGTCCACGGTGTCCACACCAACGAGAAGGTCGAACTCGCCAGCCTGGACACCGGGCGCCATGGCTCCCGCCTGTCATCCCCGCCACTCGGAGGCCGAGACCAGGAGGATCGCGGTTCAAAGCCAGCCTGGGGAAATAGTTCACGAGGCCCCATCTCAGAAAAACCCTAAACCAAAAAAAAACTCGAGCGTGGAGCCCCGAGTTCAAATCCCAGTGTCTCCAAAAGGAAAAAAGGGCCAGGGGCCGAGCCCAAGGGGAAAATCCTAAATCAGCAGGAGACAAATAACACGTGGTGCAGAAGAAGCCCCCGGTGAGTCACGGTGCTTGTCACCCTCGAGGTCCAGAGGGCAGTGGCGCTGTCCCTGGAGCCAGGTCATCCGGTCAGTGCCAGACGCCAAGGATGGACATGGAGGAGACGTCAGGGCGGTTTACCGAGGCAGAGCAAAACGAAAGAGAGAAACGAGGAGGAGCCCTGAGGCCTCAGCTGTCGGGGGTCCCTGGACGCAGGGCGGTCACTCCTGGACACCGGGGTCGTGTTCACTGCCCGCACGTGTTGGGTGGAGAGTTTTGGCCTTGGATGTCACCCCGGGACTGTCACCGAGACCCCGCGGCCCTCACGAGCAATTTCATTCCGTGCGACGCGGCCCCGAGTCAGGCGAGGCCCAGGCAGAGCGGCCGCCGTAGTGGATGCCACACAGGTCAGTGACGGAGCGACCTCACTCCGAAGTCACCGTCGTCCTCACTCCAGGCCCGGGGACCCCAGGCTTCCTCCAAAGTCACCAGCCCCTCTGCTGGTCAGAGGCCAGGAGGAGCCATGTTGGGAAGGACGCTGTCCACTGGCGTGACGGGGACACCACAGACACCAACACGGAGCCACCATCACCACCTTCCGGCTTCAAGCCTGGAACTCGGTCCCCAGGAAACACTCAAGTCTCCTTCTTCTCCTCCCCGGCCACCACCATCCGCCTCCATGCTGACGGATTCGCCTCCATGTCACTAACTTGAGGAGAATCACAGCTGTTTGTCCTTTTGCGTCTGGCTTATTCCACTGCACACAGGCTGTCCACAGGGCGGCCTGGATCAGGGCATCTTTCCTTTTTAATGGCCGTGTAGTATTCCTCCGTATGGAGAGGGCACCCCTCAAGGGACACTTGGGTTGGTGTCCACCTTTTGGTCATTGGAACAGGCTGTTCAGAGCTCTTGGAGACCCTACTTTCCATTCTTCTGGGTCTGAACACGAAAGCGACATTTCCAGATGACATGAAAAATCCTCCGTTAATTTACACACTTTTCTCGGTGGTTCTGGGGTTTGAATTCAGGGTTTCACACCCGCCAGGCAGGCGCTCCGTGACCCGAGCCTCAGCCCTTGTGGCGATAGTGATTTTTCAGGTAGGGTTGTGCGTTTCGCACTCCTGACTGAGGCTGGGATCCTCCTACCGCTGCCTCCGCAGCCCGGGATTCCGTGTTGAATTCCATGGTTTGTCTTTGGTGTTCAGCGTGGCGCGGCCCGGTGGGAGCACCGTCCATCCAAGGCTGATGGTCCCCTCGGGTCTCCAGGAGGGCGGCTGGGTCCGAGTGCCCTCCTGGGGCTCTGTTTGTCGCAGACACGGGGTCATCCTCTGACCCCCGAGCACTGGCCGTGGAGTCCCCCTTGGCTGTGGGGTCCCCGTCTTCCGTCCATCTTCTGAGTGCCTTCTCCCCCCAGGCCGTGGAGCGGCTCCTGCAGACGCTGGACCTGGAGGAGCAGGCGGTGGCCGTGGGGCACAGCCAGGTGAGCAGCGTCCTTCAGATGACCCGGGCGAGACCAAGTCCTGTCCCCGTCCGACCATCCCTGACGTCCGTGTGTCCCCTCACTCCCAACGCAACCCAGGGCCCATGATGCTCTGCCCCGCTCCTCTCCCAAGGTCACGGAGGGCAAAATGTCCTGATGGGGGTGGACATGGGGCCTGTGGCCATCTCAGGAAACACTGAACGAGACCTCGGGTCCTCAGTGTCCCAGGCGGGGCAGCTCTGAGTGAGGTCGGGGGGCCATGGGGGGACATGGGGGGCCGTGGGTTCATGGGAGGACAGGGTGATTGGCAGGCGGGTGGACAGGGGTCCAGTGCCTTCACTAGGCTGTCATTAAAGACGTCATTTCATCAGGGGTCAGTGGGCTCGTGTGGCCCCCGTTGGGTGAGCACTTCTCCCTGGGGTGATGGCAGCTTTCACCCCAAAAGGGGCTCCTGAAGTTGCTAAGCCACCTGTCCCCCAAGGTGACCTGTGAGGTGGCCACCTGTCCTCTGGCCTGGTTTGGGCATTGCCCCAGGTTTCCTGCCTCACACGGGACACTGGGGAAGGCCATTTGTGAGAGATGACATCCTGGTCCTTCCATGACCTCTGAACCCCAGGATAGCTGCTCCTCCCCCATGGCTGTGCAGCCAGCGCTGAGGTCACCTCACTGTCCTCCTGGCCAATCAGCAGCACTCATGTCTCTGTGTCCCTGGCCAATCAATCAGCAGCTTTAATGTAATTGGCCAGATGTAGTCTTGGCCAATCAGCAGAGAGCTTCACTGTAGGCTTGACCAATCAGCAGAGCTAATGTCCCTGGAGTCTTGGCCAATCAGAAGTGCTGTAAGTATAGACTTGGGTAATCAGCAGTGTAAATGTCACTGTACCGCTGGCCAATCAGCAGCCATGACGTCACTGCCATCTTGGCCAATCGGCAGCGTGAATGTCACTATAGGCTTGGCCAATCGGCAGCAGTTGGCGTGAGGTCTCGCAGGATTGGCAGGTTGTGCCAAAGCTCTTGGCACTCAGGTGCGGGGAGGGGTCACTTGTCCCCAGCAAGCCACAGGGTCCTCCGGGGACAGTCATGGCACTCAGAGACCCCCAGGCATTGAGCACGACCCCCAACATCTGCCTTCCATGTTCCATGGTGCAGGTTGGAGATCCAGGCACACAGACTCCAGGTCAGGGAGGTCAGGACACAGGGACTGATGAGGGAACAGAGGGGACACATGCCACCATCCCCGTCCTGTCCCCAGCTGGTCACCTACTGATGCATCACTGGGTAGACCCCGCCTCTGGTGCACGTGGCCCCTGCTTGCTCTGCAATGCCCCCTGCAGAGGCACGTGATGTCCTGGGGCTGTCCCCTGCCCTCCAAGCCCACCTTGTGTATCCTGGGCCATGTGTCCTTCTCGGAGCCTGTCCACCTGCTATCCACTGCCCTCAGCCTCTCCCATCCCTTCCTCTACCATGGCCTCACCTGGTTGTTCCCGCCATGGCCAGGTGCCCAGCAGCCTAGGTGTCGTCCTGTGGTCCTCACATTCCCCTGTAAGCAGCAGGACGCCCTGCTTCCCACCTGTGGACACTGTGCCCAGTGGCAGCGAGTGGCAGCCAGGGACGGCAGACTCCACGCGGACCTGCCGCCTCCACGCTGGGGCCTTTCTCTATGCGGAAGGGTCCATTTTTATTCATTTGTGTTTATGCAGTCTGGGATTTGAACTCGGGGCCTCACATTGGCCAGGCCAGCGTGATGTCACTTGAGCTGTGCCCTCGGACCTTTTGTGTTAGTTTTTTTCTAGATAGGGTCTCGGGCACTGTTGTCCTGGCTGGCCATGGCCTGCAATCCTCCTCCATCAGCCTCCTGAGGAGCTGGGATTACAGATGTGCCCCACCACATCCAGTCCAGTGCTTATGAATGGAAGCACCCAACATTCTTCACCCACAGTCTGTATGGCCCCAAATCCGCTCATGAACAGCAATTCTGAAAGTGGGGTCCTCGGGCCACCTGCGAGGACCAGACACAAATGCTCGGCTTACCACACCCCGTCCCCGTGATTCAGAAAGTCTGGGTGAGGTCCAGTAGTTTGCAGCAACGAGCCGTCGAGGGGATGGCAGCACCTGCTTCATACACACAACCCCCGGTCCCCACCATCCCCACAGTGGCTGCAGGGCAAGGAAGAAAACAGAAGTTTCGCGCACAGCGTGACAGCGCCAAGAGCTGAGGTGTGAGCGCCTGGGCGTCCCGGTGCTCAGACAGCGCCACTGTGGAACAGCACTGACTTTCGCGGGGAACCGTCCCCAGCTGATCAAGGTCAAGGACTCCTTCAGGAAGCCAGGCCAGAGAACAGGCGGAGGCCACCTATGGGCGCTGCAGCTTTTGCTGCTTCATAGGAAGGAGGCCAGCACGAGAGAGAACCAGTGACCGGGTCCTCGCTCCCCGCCGACCGACCACCAGCAAGGGACCCAGCGTCTCCATCACCTCATCACCAGAATCCTTAAAGGCGGGGATAAGGAGGCCATGCGCTTGGGTCTGACAGGCAGCCGGCCTGTACGCAGAGAATCTAGAATTTTCTTCCTGATTCTTCAGCCCCTGCAGCCTTATGGAGGTGTGCGTGGACTGTGACCCTCGTGAAAAGGTGCCACCGCACACAGACGGACTTCTGGTGGGCCATGAGCCAAAAAAGGCACACACAAAAAAAAAGAGACAGAGAAACAGAGAGAGAGAAGAAGATGGAGGGGGAAATCAGAAGGAAATGGAGGAGGAGATAGAGGAGGAGAGGGAGGAGGAGATGGAGGAGGAGGAGGAGATGGAGGAGGAGGAGGAGGAGATGGAGGAGGAGGAGATGGAGGAGAGGGAGGAGGAGATGGAGGAGGAGGAGATGGAGGAGGAGGAGGAGATGGAGGAGGAGGAGGAGGAGGAGGAGATGGAGGAGGAGGAGGAGGAGATGGAGGAGGAGGAGATGGAGGAGGAGGAGATGGAGGAGGAGGAGATGGAGGAGGAGGAGATGGAGGAGGAGGAGATGGAGGAGGAGGAGGAGATGGTTGAGGAGGAGATGGAGGAGGAGGAGGAGATGGAGGAGGAGATGGAGGAGGAGGAGATGGAGGAGGAGGAGGAGATGGAGGAGATGGAGGAGGAGATGGAGGAGGAGATGGAGGAGGAGGAGGAGATGGAGGAGGAGGAGATGGAGGAGGAGGAGATGGAGGAGGAGGAGGAGGAGATGGAGGGGGAGGAGGAGGAGGAGATGGAGGAGATGGAGGAGGAGATGGAGGAGGAAGAGAAGGAGGAGGACGAGGAGATGGAGTAGGGATGATGGGTGATGAGTCACCAAGTTGTCATTTACTGGGTCCACTCACCTCAGTGGCCTTGGCCGGCCTCAGTGTCCTCTGTCTGTAAAGTGACAAGGAAGCAATCTTGCAAAGCGGAGTCCCTGGCTGGCTGTCCCTTCCATTTTCCTCCTGAGAAGAGCCTTGGAGCAGGACGGTCACCGAGAATCGTGTGGTGACGGGGTCAATCGATGGAGACTGTCCTGCTGTGATCAGATTGCAGTCGGACCCAGCTCTCATGTTGGTGTCGTGATGGATGTGACCCCGAGTGTGGGTGCAAGAGTCGATCCCGAGGTGCGAGTTCAAGCCTCGCCTTGGGCACCTCGTTTGGACGTGTGAGGCTTAATGTCACCGGCCGTCTGACCTGCTGATGTAGGGAGAAGGCTTTGGTGAATGGGGACGCCATTTGGTGACAGTCGTGCATTCGTCTGGAGTCCGAGGCTGGTGGAGGAGCGTGGGGAAAATGCCTGTCCAGTCCCTTCCTCTCCAGAGCAATGGCTGCCCTCCTTCCCACCATCCCCGTCCCCCAGCCAGGGCCGGGTGGTGGTTTTTCTGTAGGGCACCGCGTCTCTCAGATCGCCAGGGGACACTTATTAAAAACGCATGATCGCAGATGTGGCCCCAAGCATCCCGGCCAGGGGACGAGGCCTGGAAGGTCATTTACCTCAGGGTCCGTGTGACTGTGGGGACAGGGAGGGCTGGCACCTGTGTCCTCGTGGTGGCTTCGCGGTGGCTCTGGGTTCAAAAGCAGATGCGTCTGGGATTCTGCACTAACATCAAAGCCGAGGCTGAGACCCCAGGGTGTGTGGGACGATGGCGGGAGGACCGGCCACGACACCGAGCTTTGATCTGGGCAGAGGTGTCACCGCTGACCGCGTCCCTCCCTCAGGTCTTCCTCAGGGCCGGCGTGGCGTCCAGGCTGGAGAGGCAGCGGGAGCAGCTGGCGGCCCAGAGCCTCGTCCTCCTCCAGGCCACATGTCGGGGTTTCCTGTCCCGCCAGGCTCTCAAGAAGCTCAAGGTACTGTGGCGTGGCCTGCGGGTTCCGGGGGCCATGGAGGCTGAGTCCGCGAGCCGCCGGCTTTGCAAGGTGGCAGCTCCGTGTCCGGGACGTTCGCCTTGGTCTTGGCCACGGCCTGATGGGGAAAGGGATGTCACCGCGGAGGCACGGGCAGGTCCCAGACTCCGAGATCTTTGGGATCCCACGGATGGGACCCACCCCGGAGACGGGGTGTCCTCCTTACGCGGTGGACAGACACCCGCCTGCCTGCGATCTCAGGACAGACAGCCATCAGCGCACGTGGCTGCTCAGTGGCGGGGTGGTGTGACAGCGTGCGCCCAGTGAGGCGGTGGGGCCAGGTGACCACTCGGCGTGAGTGACCACAGGGTCCCAGGACACGAGTTCCCACGTGTAGGGAATTTAGGGTTCGAGGCCGAAGCTTTGAACTCGTCAACAAAGGACCCCGGCCACTGCTCCCGGCTCGCGTGGGTCTGGGGTGGTTTGGGGTGCAGGTTGGGGTTTAACCCTGGCCTCGTCCTTGTCACCTCTTGTCCTCCGTACCTGGGTCTCGAGGGACCCTTAACCTCTGCCCCCTCCTGCCCCGCAGCTCCGCCGGCTGGCGGCCCAGTGCATCCAGAAGAACATGGTGGCCTTCCTGGCGGTCAAGGACTGGCCGTGGTGGCGGCTCCTTGGGTCCCTGCGGCCTCGGCTCAGCGCCACCATTGGGACGGAGCAGCTGCGAGCCAAGGAGGTGGGTCCCCGCGGCGGGGTGGCGACTCCATCCCCCGCTCCGTCTCGCACTGAGACCCAGGACCCGGCCCGTCCAGGTCGAGCCATGGTGAACTATTGCAAAATCTGCAGGACCCCAAAACCGGTGTTCGTCTTATTTTCGGTGGCAGCACTGGGGTTTGAACTCAGGGCCTCGCCCCTGCTATGGCGCTCTACCACTTGAGCCGCTTCCCCGGCCCCTGCTGTGTTCATTTGTAGGGAGCTCGTCCCGTTCCTTTTTCACGGCTGCATGCTGCTCCCCCGTGCAGGTGCACCCGACTTCCTTCCTGACTCAGCCCTGACGGCGGCTCCGTAGGCACAGGGAGGGCCTGGTGGGAGGTGACCGGGGGGACATGGAGTGGTCAGCAGGACACAGCCGGCCGGGAGCAGGTGAGTCAAGACGCTTGTTTTGTAGGAGGAGCTGGCTGGACTGCGAAGGAAGCTGGAGAAGTCGGAGAAGTCGAGGAAGGAGCTGAGGCAGAGCACGGAGCTGCTGGAGAGCACGGTGCGCCTGGCCCGGGTGGGGTGAGGGACGGGGTGAGGGACAGGGTGAGGGACGGGTGTGGGGCAGTGTGCAGGATTTTGTGCAAACTGCTTATAAAACGCCCTTGAGACAACGCAAGGTGCCGGCTTCTCTGGTGCCCCTCATACGGGGGACACCGAGGCCCCCAACATTAGCCATCTGCCCAGTGTCGCCCACGCAGTGAGTCTGAGGCTGAGATTCAGTCCTACGTCATCCGCTGCACAGGGAACAGTGCCCTAAAAAAGTCAGAAATCACTAATCCGACTCGGGTGGACCAAAGCAGAAAGTGACGGAGTCGGTATCCAGAGCCAGTAGCGTCCCCTCAAATCAGTGGGAGGACAAACACTGGGCAGGCGGATCTCAGCAGGGGGGTCATCTCAAAAGTTCACGAGTTTGAGAGTCCACGCCACCGCGGCCCACCCTTCTTCACGGCTGTCTAGTATTCCGTGGGAATGGAGCTCAACTCACCCATCAGGACATCCCGTTGTTTCCGGTTTTCTCTGAGCTTCCTGTTGACTTTTTAAATTTTTTATTGTGAATTTTCACCGTGGATAACCGAGGGGACTTCCCTGGGCGGTGTTCAAAGGGCCTCTTTTTCACTGAGCCTCCGTGCTGGTTGTGCCGGGGCGGACACAGTGTCGTTTTGGTGTCGTTTCCGCGGGGTTTGGCCGTGCGGTTCAGGTCTTCTGCCCGCTCTTCTGTCTTTGTCCTCGTTGGCTCCTGGTGGCTCTTTACGTGTGGCGGATCTGACTTCCGCCTTGGGATGCAGCTTCGCGGACGTCTCCCTCCTGCCTTTTGGGGTGCGGTGATGTTACACCACATTTCCTAAATGCTTGAATTTCCTCGGGGCCGAGAGGAGGGCTAAGGGCCCCCCAGAACCCCAAAATGACATCAGCTGGGGCCACAACACTTTCTGGGCGTTGTTCTCCCCCCTGTGACACCAACGGCAGCTCACGGTTACCCCTGGGGACCCTTCTCTCATTTTGTACAGCAGAGCATCTGGGAACCCGAGGAAGCTCGGGTTTGGGGGAAGTGACCGGGGCGGTCGTCACCTCCCTGCCAAAAAGTCACACTGTTCTGCATGGCTGCTTTGACCCCCGACTAATCCTGACCCCCGAGGAGCGGGGCTCCCTCAGCTTCCCCTGTCCCCTCTCTATTTTGACCCGGGTAGGGTCTCGGGGGGCCGAGGTCCTCTTTGATTCTGTGTCAAGCCAGGCGCCGTGGCTCACGCCTGTAATCAAAGCCACTCGGGAGGCTGAGATGGGGAGGATCGAGGTTCGAGGCCAGCTTGGGGAAAGAGTTCTCGAGACCCTCATCTCCAAAATCAGCAGAGTAAAATGGGGGCCGGAGGTGTGGCTCACCCCCCAACACCCCAGAAAAACAAAAAACGCAATACAAGCCCAGGCCTGAGGTGGCTCTGATTCGAGGCAGAGGGTCCCGTTGGTCCAGGGCAGTGGCCTTTGTCCTTCAAATTGCTTCAGAGTCCCAAGGACACAGTAGAGGAGGGGACATTGTGAGGCAGGGCCAGGTGGCCCCGGAGCTGCTGTTTCTAGCAAGTTCTTGGGGACCGGGCTGGAGTGGAGGACAGAGATGGCGTCCCTTCCCTCCGGCGTCCCTTCCAGGAGACACCCTGCAGACCTCGCTCCACCTCTGCGCCCGTGGGTGTCAGTGTCCCCCCGCAGGGGAAGACACGGCTGGAATGTCCTTTCTCACGGTGGGCCTCAGTTTCCCCATCCCAGAACTGGGCCCATGGCCTCTTCTCTGCCTCCTCTGCAACACGAATGGAGGCGCTGACGAAATTCAAGCCAGACACGACCCACAGGCACGAGTCGGTGACCCCGCGGCCACCGCGGGGCCGTGACCCAGTTCTCCCGGCGCTGCTGAGAACTGAAGGGTTTGCCCAGCGTCACCCGGGCTCGCCCGATCCGGCTGGCTGTGACGGGAGCGGTGTCTACACGGCCTGGGATCGGGGTCCTGCCCGGTGTCAAGGGACGGTGTCTGAGGATAAGCAGGAGGTGACAGGTGACAGATGGTGGGACCCGTGTCCTCCCCGTGCCGTCCTGGGGGTCAGGGTGTCCTGGGAGGGAGCGGCCTTGGGTGGGGTCACCAGGGTCACAGGACAGCTTGGGCTCTGTGTCCTGCTGGGCGGACAGGACGGAGAGCGTCCTCAGCACGGGGCGTGTACGGATGGCCCCGGGACGTCCTGCTGAGGCCCTGGGTGACCACGAGGCCCTCGAGGTCCTTCCAAAGCCAGGAAGGGCCACGGTGTCCCTTGTCCCTGGAGGCTCGCCAAAGCCCGGTCCCTAAACCCAAACGCAGAGGCCAGGTGGAGGCAGAGAACGGAGGTTGATTTTATGACGCGGCTGGGGGCGCGCGCGGGTTTGAGGACAAAGAACTGGGGACAGGGGACGAAGGATGGCGCCCACAGATGGCTGCATCCGCTCAGGTGCGACCTCGTCACGACAGGTCATTGTCCTCATCTGGAGGGGCGTCTGTCCCGCACGCTCGTTCCTTACGGGAAGTTTCAGTCCCTTGTCACAAAGGTGTCATCGGTTCTGTCCTTTCTGGAACCCAAGGTGATTGCAAAGTGACTGGCAGAGAGAATGGCTGAGGGCAGAGGCAGACAAAATGGCGGGGAGGCCAGGCCTCTCCTGTTTTGAGTTCATCCCTGGGCTCCGGTAAGGAGTCCGTGCTGTCCAGCGAAAGCCCTTGGAGGTGTCCCCCGCACCGTGCCCAGGTGGCTCCAACTGTCCCCCACGCTGAGGCCACGGACCTCACGCGTGTCAGCCCGTGAGTCCTCGAGCAGCCGTTTGGTGGCGTGGTTAAGGGCGAGGGCTCCGTGGCCATCGCCCACTGGTCTCCTCTGGTGAGTGACCGAGTGACCGCCCCTTTGTGCCTCAGTTTCCTCACTGCAGCCCGATCCCCTGGGCTGTGGCACCGGTCAGGGTCAGGTGGTGGCCCGGCGCAGGGCCATGGGGCCAGG